GTAAGAGGTACCGTGTACGGTTTTTTTTCTATGTATTCACAAGCCAGTATATCAGCGGGGGTGTGGGCGATCTTCAGGCTATTATCACCAACTTCTCGAAGTGACGGCCGCGCAGGCACAGCTTGATCATGAGATGATTACATCCAGTTCTGCTGTAACTCAAAGGATTTGGGACACTCCTGACAAATCTGTGTTTGTGTTCACGCAACCCTTGGAACCTTCAGCAGAATTTCATCTCCTATGTGGACAAGGAATGATTCTTGACAGCAGAATTCATTTTGTTATTTTGAACTGCTCAGCAATATTAATCTCATGTTAACGTTACACATAAGACTGTTCTGCTTTGTGGTATTGTTTCATTGGTGGAGATAGTCCCAGTCCTATCTCCCAATTATATTGCGCGCTATGTGTAGATTGGGGACATGTTCGAGTTGACTGATGCTAAAGTGTCTCTCGAGCGCTAACCTGGTTATTCATAACAATAAATAAGACATTTGTTGAGAAGGTGGAAACAGAGGAGCCATAAGAAGTACAGTAATCATCCTTCTTATCGCAGCTTATAACATGTATTTATGGGCCCTTCTTTCAAAGGTGGCATAGGTGTGTGGGGAATACCTAGGTCCGGTGGTCATTTCCCACTTGACATAACCACCACGCTTTGTGGATCTAGCTGTTACTCATTCCCATTTTATGAAATGGTCAAGGCAGATTGTCACCGTTACGTTGTCTTGCTTTGACGGCCTTGTGTCGCACGGACAGTCGCACTGGGCATGGGTCCTGAGAGCACTCCTGAGAGTTGACAGCACAAAGTTGCTCCGCCAAATGAGACAAGATTTACCTATTGAGTGATAGTGTGTAGTAGGCTCTATGGAGGAATATTCCAATAGTTATTACAAGATGATCATAAAAAAAAAAAAAGAAATGAGTTCTTACCTTTTTGTTGATCTCTAGAATTCCTACAAGTGAAAAAGGCAGAACTCGAAACACTGCAAGGTACAGCAGAACAGGTTGTTGAATGCCTGCCTAGAAGGAAAGACTTCAATGTTACTTAAATAGGAAGGCAAACATATTTAAACTATGTCCACTAAACCTTCAGTCCTTCAGATACATGCAACACTCACATACACAAATCTACAAAAATAAACATAACAGTAAACATTTCTTAGCAACAAAATATCATGCGTTTATATTGTAAACTGGAGTTCTAACAATAAAAAGCCTAACTGAAAAACATACAGTTACAGTAACACCATTTGAAACTAGTGTTGCACTGACACTTCTATAGGAAATGAGAAAAAATATCAACAATGAAAGCTTGAGTGATGGCTCTGCTTCAAGAGGATAGCTCCATTACTTTGAAGAACAAGATCCAATGAATTTCTTTCCACTATAAAAAGTGAAATAATCTGTTGTACTTCTTCAGTACAGGCTTGAAGGGAATTTCCTCAATTTGTGGTAGGCAAAGGAGTCTGCCCCATCACAGCCAATCTCTGCCTCAATAGAATCTTTAAAGCTGGGGCATCAAGACCACCAATCAAAACTGCCATAACTAAAAGTTAGAAAACAAACAAACAACAAACAAAACAATAGATTATAATGTTTAAGCCCAAAGGATTCTCCCTTCAGAAGGTATAACTTTTTATTAAACTAAGATCTTCAAGGTGTAAATCAGACTCCGTCCTTGTTCCTAAAACCCAAAGGAAAGATATAGTTTATACATCCCAACCAAGAGCTACTGGTTGTTAGCTGGAAATTGTGGGAAAGTGGTCTAGAATGCAGAAATACTGACAACAGTTTTATTAATATTATTAGTTGACAGTAAATGAAAAACATTTACAAATGGTACTATATAGAATTAGACTTAAGTTCTTGCTCTTTAGAAATTTAAATTCTTAACAAAGGTACATTAGACAAGATACTTTTAAAATTCTCATAAAATGTTGTATTTTTGTTTTTCTGAGACAGGGTCTCATTCTGTCACCCAGGCTAGAGTGCAGTGGCATCATCATAGCTCACAGCAGGCTTGAACTCCTGACCTCAAATGATCCTCCTGCTTTGGCTTACCAAAGTTCTGGAATTACAGGTGTGAGCCACTGCACTGGCTTTCATAAAATGTTTTGCTACTTTGCTATACTGCTTCACTTTTGTGAATTTTCCTTTACCAAAGTGGAGAGGGTAATATAGTGAGTGAGAGTATCAGGAGAGAAATATTAATAGAGAGATAGAATCTCTTTTTCTTAGATTGTCATACCCAGTAAATCAGGAAAAGGGTGAGGAAATTCCAGTAAAAAGCATGCGGTTTATGTTATTAATGTGGCTAGACAGGATATAGGAAAAGGGTAGAAAAATATTTAGATAACCATAATAAAAAGTAAGTAAAAATAGCCAAAAAATAGTTTACTTGGCTTCAGTAGGATATAGGAAGAACAGACAAGGGAGATGAGAGAGGAAGGAAAGCAGAGTTCACTGGCCCAGAGTGGATGGGAATATATCAGAGGGTTAACAAGGGAATGCTATATGTGTTTATCTAAATAAGGTAAAATTAGAGGAAATACTTAATTAAAAAAAAACCATCTAGAATTCTATATAAACTTTACCTGCCAGTCAGTGGTTACAAAAATTTCAAGAAAGAGTACTATGGTATAGTACATAAGAGCAAGGATTCTGGAACTAGGTTGTCTGAATTTGAGTCTAGTTTCTACCCCTTACCAGCATTATAACTTTAGGTAACCTCTCTGGGTCTCATTCTCCTCATTTGTAAAATTGGATAATAATACTAACTACCATAAGGGTGTGCTGAAGATTAAATAAGTTGATACAGATAAAGGACTCAGACAGTGCTTGGCTGTTTTGTAATAGTGAGAAAAAGCTAACAGTTAAAAATGATGAAGAACTAGGTTCTGCCAAGAAGAGACAGAAAATAAGTGTTTGTTTTTTCTAGTATGAAGAAACAGAAAGCCTCTAACAGAAGTCTGTATCTATTTTTTTAAAGTGTTCAATAAATGCTTTCTATAGTATTTCCCCATAAGTCACCAACAGGAACAAAGTAAGTTTCTTTTCTTTTCTTTTTAAGAGACAGGGTCTTGCTCTGCTGCCCAGGTTGGAGTTCAGTGGGATAATCGTAGCTCACTGCAACCTTGAACTCCTGGGTTCAAGCAATCCTTCTGCCTCAGCCTCTCAAGGGGCTGGGACTACAGGTGTGCACCAACTATGCCTGGCTAAAATAAGATTTTTTTCTTTAATTTTTATTTTTCTGAGACAGAGTCTCACTCTGTTGCCTGGGTTAGAGTGCTGTGGCATCAACCCAGCTCACAGCAACCTCAAACTACTGGGTTTAAGTGATCCTCCTGCCTCAGCCTCCTCAGTAGCTGGGACTACAGGGATGTACCACCATGCCAGGCTAATTTTTTCTATTTTTAGTAGAGATGGGGTCCTGCTCTTGCTCAGGCTGGTCTCAAACTCCTGAGCTCAAGTGAGCCTCCCACCTTGGCCTTCCAGAGTGCTAGGATTATAGGCCTGAGCCACTGTGCCTGGCCTAAAGTAAGTTTCTTGATATAAATTTCTAGGCTCTACTTTATAAAGTATAGTAAATCCTGGGTAATTCTTTTTAAAAAAGAGAGAAATGGCCGGGCACGGTGCCTTACGCCGTAATCCCAGCACCTCTGGAGCCGAGGGCGGATTGCTCAAGGTCAGGAGTTCAAAACCAGCTGAGCAGACCCGTCTCTACCCATAAAAATAGAAAGAAATTAATGGCCAACTAAATATATAATATAAAAATCAGCCGTAGTGGCGCATGCCTGTAGTCCAGCTACTCGGAGGCTGAGGCAGTAGGATCGCTGAGCCCCGGAGATTGAGGTTGCTGTGAGCCAGGCTGACGCCATGGCACTCACTCTAGCCTGGGCAACAAAGTGAGACCTGTCTCAAAAAAAAAAAAAAAAAAAAAAGAGAGAAAATCTTCGGGGTTTTTTTGAGAAGGAGTCTTGCTATGTTGCCCAGGCTGGTCTTCAGCAAATCTTCAGCAAATGAAATCATTTTTACTGGTGAAAATCATTTTAAAGGCATGCTTCAGGGGAAAAAAAAATCTAGCTAGCAATTTTTATAATATGATTCAGAAATCAAAGATCACTGATTTGTTCTTTCATAATACATTTGCAGACAAGTGTCTATGGAAACACATTCTTCATTTTATTGAATGTTTAAAGACATATACCTGCCGGGCCGCTGCTGAGGCTTTGTTCTGAGCTGATTTGACTGCAATGACTTCTTGAGGAGTGTCCCAGCTCAGGTATCTTAAAAGAATGAAGAGAAGTTTATTCATTTGGGTCAGTTTCCTTATACTTAAAATTGAAATATCATAGATATTTTATAAGTAAATAAACAGTTTTTAGTTAAATTATAATCGCAAAGTAATCTATTTACAAAAATAAATAAATAGCTAAAATAATTTTCCCATATCCTTATATGGATCTATCCCTATTTAAAAAAATATATACACATATAACAATTTTAATCTTCCTAGAGATTTGATGAATAAAAATTGTTTTTGACCTATGACTATTCAAAACTTAGAAAATAAAATAACCCCATTTCTACTTTAAAATGGAAGCTATAATATAAAAAACACTGAAAATATTACTTTCCATGCACAAATCACTTCAAATATTTATATCAAATTTAGTTGAAATAATAGTTCTTGGGTTCTACAAGGCAGATAATTTAACTGAAACAGAGTAGTCTTCAGGAAAACCTGACAGAAAGTGCATCCTGTACAGAAAATATTATTTGGGACTACAGGCATGTACCCTTTCCTTCTGTTTTTATAGAAGGAATAACACAGGGAATTTTTTGTTTTAAAGTTTATCTGCCAACTACTTTAGGTTATTTACTTATTAGGGTTACAAAAATAAATGATAGAGGGTCTCTATCCTCAGATATTCAAATGTAATCATGAGAGGAGAAAAAGAGAAAAGTTTATAAATTTAGATTTGGGTATACACTGGAAAAGTGGGGTGGGGGTGGGGAGAAACTTAACATTTCCTGCGCCACAAGTCTCAAATTTTTATAATACAATCTTGAATAGTAAATTCACAGTTAATACCTGAATTTGCAATAAGAAGCAAGATATATTTTCTCAAGGACTTTTCCTGTAGTTGCTGATATACGAAGTAGCCAATTATGAGCAGTCAGTGCTATGAGTGAGGACTTATAATCTGACTGATTGGGAAGTACTTCCCCCTAAAAAAAGAAATGAGATGTAAAAATAAAACTGTTGGGCCATGAACAATTTGCAGTAATCAATGTCCCAAGAAAATAGCTAAATACTTAAATAGTCAAATAAGTAAACCAAAGAAAAAATATTAAATGTACAAATAGAGAATGAACACAAGGAAAGATAAGATTACAGGTAATTATTTTCACACTAACTTATTGAGTTTATTCACACCAAGCACTTAGTGCCTAAAGTAATTTATTATTATTTGTTAGTTACTATTTATTATTAAGTATTTGAATATTAGCCAATCATAACAATAGTAGGAGTATTAATAGTGATTTTGCTATGATAACGATAACGACAGCTCTTAAAATCATTTATAATAGCATTGTAAATTAAGAATCCTCAGCTAGAATAGACATTCACATTGTCCCCTTTTTCTTTATTATAGGACTTGTTTTCCTGCAGATGGAAGTCAAAATGGCAAAGTGCAAATTACCCCATTATTCACTGTGGTTCTGACCTAACCTCAAATGAAAAGCCAGAATCCAGAATCAAAGAAGCCAAAGAACAGAAGATGGACCTGGTTTTAAAAATGACCTATGTCACTAATGAATTATCCTAGAAAAAGGAAAGGATAGCTGCTTGGGTGCTCCTAACACATAGAGTTATCACAACGTAGAAGTCTAATACAGGAAGAAAAAAAAAGCAAATGTTTCTACTTTGATTTATGGAATAAAAAGGTAGTTCTTAGAAAAAGTTGAGATTAGAGAAGTTGAAATTAATCCACTATTTGCTTAGGTCGAAAAGTGAATACAAATGAATGAAGGCATAGTTATTTTATAAATGTGCCTTAAAAATTTGTCTTCCCTTTCAAATGTTACAGAAAAAAATAAATTTTTGCTTGTATTTTGGCTTTTTATTTCAGCTTACTATCTCTGGAAGTCTTACACTGAATTCACAGGCAATGATGTAAATACTTTTATTCTACAGTGTCTTTTTTTTTTTTCTTTTTAACAGACATAGGGTCTCGCTCTGTTGTCCAGGCTGTAGTGCAATGGCACAATCATAGCTCACTGTAACCTCAAACTCCTGGGCTCAAGTGATCCTCCTATTTCAGCCTCTCTAGTTAGTTGGGAATATAGGCACACACCACCACGCCTGGCTAATTTTTAAGTATTTTGTAGAGATGGGGTCTTGCTATATTGCCCACGCTGTTCTAGATCTCCTGGCCTCAAGTGATCCTCCTACCTTGGCCTCCCACAGTCCTGGGATTACATGCATGAACTACTATGCCAGGCCCTACAACGTCTTATGTAAGAATCATTTCATGGAGATTAAAATTCGAAGCAGCGTATATAATAGATTTAAACTATTTTCTTAAACAAAAAGTTGTATTTCACATATTGTCTTGGAAAAGAACAGCACTAATTTAAAAGTAGTCTCATATCAGTATGTTAACAACAATATAATACACTTCTTAGTTTTTCTTAACAGAAAATCTTACTTCACTTCAAATAAGAACAAAATGTTTATAAGAGAAGTAACGATAGGAGTTAGGTTATTACAAACTTTATTTTTTGCAAGATTGCTCTAAACTTTGGGAGTTTTGTACTAGTATATTAAAAACTTTCTCAATTAAGAAATCTGCCATTTTCCCCTCCATGCACCTATCCCGATGAAAATGGATTAAAAGGCTTTAAATTGCTAAAGGCACAACAGTTATTTTGAGCTTTTCAATAAGGAGATGAGGAAGAAAACAGACTTATAGTTTTCTAATTTTTAAAAAAGAGCCTTCTTTTTAGCCTTTAATTCCTCTTGTGATGTAAACAAAATAATAAAATAAAAAGAATTAAAAAATAAAAATAAAATAAATAAAATAAAAAAGAGCCTTCTGTGAGCAGACAATAAGTATCCAGGGAAAAAAGAAAGCAGCAGCTCTAGAAAACTACAATTTTATGTAAAACAGGCAGGGGGGAAAAAAGGAATTTTAACAGTAAATTTAGAGTATAGCCTCTTATCCGTTAAACATTATTTTTGGTCACATATTTTGAGTTCTATTTTTCCTAAAGAACGACCAACCAGATTCAAAGACCTGATTAATCTGTCTGAGTATTTCATAAGCGGATTTCTTAGAACCCTGATCCCGTAAGGAACTCACACAAGTTGAGTCAGTTATCTTTTATCCAAAATGCTTGGATCCAGAAGGGTTTCAGCTTTCAGATATTTTCAGATTTTGGAATATTTGCTTATATATAATGAGATATCTTGGGGAGGGGACCCAAGTCTAAGCACAAAATTCATTTTGACATATACTTTATACACATAGCCTAAGGGCAATTTCATACAATATTTTTAATAATTTTGAGCATGGATAAAAAGCTTTAACATCAAATGAGGACAGGTGTGGAATTTTCCACTTGTGGTGTCATGTTGGTGTTCAAAAAGTTTTGGATTTTGGAGCATTTTGGATTTTAGATTTTCAGATTAGGGATGCTCAACCTGTGTTTAGAAATATCCTCAAAAAAGGAAGTTCCCATGATCAAGAGAGTTTGGGAAAATGGTTTGACAATCATCATGGACACTAGTATTATTGTACGTACTACTACTATTAAAGGCTCTGAGCAGTAATTCAATAAATAAAGTTTAATCTTTTAAATTCATAATGTCCCAAACAGTTTTCCACAGTCCAATTCCTCTCAACTCCTTTGGCATCTGAACATCTGTTAATATCCTATTAGAACATCGTTCTGAAATATTCACCCCAGGACAATGCTGGTCTGATAAAATGAGCTTATCCTATTATTTTATTTTTATCACATTATTTTCCTAAAAACATGCATGGAAGGCCAGGCGCTGTGGCTCACGCCTGTAATCCTAGCTCTTGGGAGGCCGAGGCGGCGGATGCTCAAGGTCAGGAGTTCAAACCAGCTGAGCAGGAGCGAGACCCCGTCTCTACTATAAATAGAGGGAAATTGATTGGCCAACTGATATGTATATAGGAGGAAAAATTAGCCGGGCATGGTGGCACATGCCTGTAGTCCCAGCTACTCGGGAGGCTGAGGCAGAAGGATCGCTCGAGCCCAGGAGTTTGAGGTTGCTGTGAGCTAGGCTGACGCCACGGCACTCACTCTAGCCTGGGCAACAAAGCGAGACTCTGTCTCAAAAAAAAAAAAAAAAAAAAAAAAAAACATGCATGGAAGAAACTCATAAGAATCTAATTTTCAAAGAGCCATGTAACATAACTGTTGCTCTAAAAGCTTTTTTTTTTTTTTTTTTTTTTTTTTTTGAGACAGAGTCTCGCTTTGTTGTCCAGGCTAGAGTGAGTGCCGTGGCTTCAGCCTAGCTCACAGCAACCTCAAACTCCTGGGCTCGAGCAATCCTTCTGCCTCAGCCTCCCGAGTAGCTGGGATACAGGCAGTGCCACCATGCCCGGCTAATTTTTCTATATATATCAGTTGCCAATTAATTTCTTTCTATTTATAGTAGAGACAGGGTCGCTCTTGCTCAGGCTGGTTTTGAACTCCTGACCTTGAGCAATCTGCCCGCCTCGGCCTCCTAAGAGCTAGGATTACAGGCGTGAGCCACCGCGCCCGGCCTCTAAAAGCTTTTTATTCACTATATTAAGTGGTATGATCTGTTAAACACTAAAAATAATTATATACTAGCTTATATTGCTTATAAAAGTTTTAATCAGTTTATAACTTTTTCTAGTTTTCAAGACTTAAAAAACTATCTAATTTTAAAAACACATTCATAAATTTAAGATAGAAATTATTTCATGAGGAAAAATAATAATCAAAAGATAAACTCTCCTCTTGATTGCTTAAAAGATTCAGGAATCACTATAATTAATACTCTCAAGATATTAACAATAATCAGTTGTTTTAGGCTAAAAGTGCTTGGGGAAACAAATGCTGTAAGAAGGAATCTTACCACTGGGCATTCCCACAATAAAGCATCCTCTATTTTTTCTGATTTGGAACATTTTGGCATTTCATAAAGTTTTCTTGGCTCTGACGCAACACTGAGAAAAGAAAAATAATTATTCTTCTTGATAACTGAGACAGTATTTGTTCAGGTTTGAATGACTTTTTATGCAGAGATTTGGTATACCAAAATACAATTTGTTATTTGCTTCCCTCTTCATTACATGTTAACATTTTTTTCTGACCACATAATCTATAATATACATTAATAGAAAAAAATCTGAAAAATATAACAAGATTAAAGTAGTTTATGACACTTTAATAAGCTGCTCAAAATAAACATTATTAACATTTTGGTTCATTTCCTTCCAGTTTTTCTTCATATACATATATCTACTTGGACACTGTTTTCCAAAATTGGATCATATTGAATTCTTTCTTTACCCCTGAACATTTATACTATGAATATCTTGGTTGAATTCCATCAAGTTCATAAACTTTTGTTCTGATATTTAAAATGAAAATTAGTAGATAAAAAGGGTTCCCACAACTTTAGAATAAAAATTAGTGGGTAAAAAATGAAATACCTTTTATGGTTTTCTTAAGCCCAAATTAGTTTTCAGAACTGTTGAATAAGTTTATACTTCTGCCAATATTGAGCACTATTATCTTTGATGTGAAAAATAGTCTCTTAATTTATACTTCTTTGATTACTACTTAGAAGTGATCATAAATATCACCCCCCGTCCTTTTTTTTTTTTTTTTTTTTTTTTACCTATTCGTGGTTGTACATGCCTGTAGTCACAGCTACTCAGAAGGCTGAGGCAGGAGATCACTTGAGCCCAAGAGTTTGAGGTTACAATGAGCTATGTTGATGAAACTGCCATCTAGCCTGGATGACAGAGCAAGATTATGTCTCAAAAAAATAAAATAAAATAAAAGTTTTCTGTTTTTTTAACAGATGAATTTTAAAATTAAATTACTGTTCACAGAGAAACAATTTTTCAGGGTGATAATTTTATTCAATTTCGATGTCCTCTCATTGATTCAAAGGTTTAAACCAAACAGAATTTCACAATTTCACAGTAACAAATTCAACCTCATATGTGAGTCTAACCTGTGGGTAAAACACCCCGGATGTTAAAGAATTCCAAATATTACCATTTACCATTGTAACACTAATTAATGTCACTTCTCTAATTAAAAAAATTTTTTAATTAAAGCAAGTACCTCCAAATTGGGTAAGTTATAAACTAGATATTAAATGATATCAAAAAATTATTGCTGCAACCAGTCTGGGCAACATAAACCTTGTCTCAAAAAAAAAAAGTTACTGCTAATTTTGCTAGGTGTGACAATGACATTATAATAATATAAGAAAATGTCCATATTTCCACTTCCAGTATGAGAGCATGAAAAGCTCTGTGAATACACTCTTTAGCAAAACTGGCGAAAATTATAAAAGGACAACTATTTAAAGTCTCTAGAAATGGTCCTGGGGATATACAGCATGAGGAAACATTTATTCAAGAAAACCTACTACAGCTCAGTTAGAATAGTGACAGTCTATGGTGTTTGAACCAGGGCTTGCTCCCTCCTTCCTCATTCCTAGCTCAGCAAGATGAAAACACCACTCCAGATTGGTGCAGCTCCCTTTCAGCACAGCTTTCACTCAGAGAGTCATCTTGAGGGGTGAGGGAGGTGCCTTGCCTGTTGCTCAGGCTGAGTACTGCTGAGTCCTCTCTGATACATCAGAGAATTGAGGCCACAGGGCAAACTGCTGCTTTCAAAATTGAAGAAAGAGGTGGATACTGACAATCACAGTTTACTAGGAACAGAAGCCCAGGAACAGGCCATTGGAGCCAGTAATGGGAAGACAAAAACAAGGACACTAGAGGAAATTTTAACCTCTGACACCTACAACCACAGTAAACAATAATCACAGCCTAACTCCTACCCAGATAATCATAAAATCTCATTCTAAAGGCCTATTTACCTCAATTCTTTCTACCCAACATATCACATATAGCCTTAAACAACAATAACAAAAAAATTGCTAGGCATGCTAAAAGGCAAAACACAAAAGTTTGGAGAGACAAAGCAAGCATCAAAACTAGACTCAGATATGACAGAGATTTTGGAATTATCAGATCAGGAACTTAGGATAACTATGATTAAGGCCAGTGCAGTGGTATGCTAGTTCTAGCTACTCAGGAGGCTGAAGTAGGGGGATCACTTGAGCCCTGAGTTTAGGTCTGTAGTAGTACATCATGACTGCATTCCACCCTGGGTTAGATAGCAAGATCCCATCTCTAAAAAAAAAAACAAGTAAGTAAAATAATTACTATGTTAAGGGCTCTGATGGAAAAAGTAGACAACATGTAAGAAGGGATGAGTAAATTAAGCAGATAGATAAAAATTCTAAGATATAAATTCAAAAGGAAATGCTAGAAGACAAAAACACAATAATGGAAATGAAGAAGGCCTTTGATGGGTTCATCAAATTACTGGATACAGCTGAGGAAAGAATCAGTAAGCTTGAAAAGAGGTCAAGAGAAACTTTCCAAACTGGGAAGGGAGTGGGGGGGAAGCAGAAATATCAGAACCATGGGACAATTATTGAAGGTGCAACATACACATAATAGGAATACTAGAAGGTAGAAAAAAAAAGAGAAAAGGAAATATTTGAAATAATAATGGCTGAGGATTTTCCAAAAGTAATCACAAAGACCAAACCACAAATCCAGTAAGCTCAAAGAACACCAGGCAGGATAAATACCACAAAAATCTACACCTAGGCACATCATATTCAAACTGCAGAAAATCAAAAATGAAGAGAAAAATCTTGAAAAATGCCAGATGGAAAAAAAGGCCCTTAACTATAGAGGAACAAGGATAAGAATTACATTGTACTTCTCTTCAAAAACCATGCAACCAAGCAGAGAGTGGAGTGAAATATCTAAAATGTTGAAAGAAAAAAAAAATACCACCAATTTAGAATTCTATATCCAGAGAAATTATTGTTCAAAAAATGAAGGAAAAATCACTTTCTTAAACAAACAAAAATTGAGGGAATGTGTTGTCAGTAGGTTGCCTTGTAAAAAATGTTAAAAGAATTTTTCCAGAGAAGAAAAATGCCATGTACAAGTCAGAAATTTAGATCTACATAAATAATGGAAAATTAATAGAGAAGGAATAAACGAAGGTAAAACAAAATCCCTTATTTTTTAGTCTTTCCTGATTTAACATTAAATTTTGTCCAAAATAATAATAGTAATAAGGTATTCAGTGATTACAGCAGTTAAGTAAGTAAAATGAATGACAGCTATGTTATAAAAGAGGAGAGGGAGGAATTAGGAATACTCTGTTATAAAGTACCTGTACAACCCATGAAGACCTATAGTGTTATTTGAAAGTAGACTTAGATTAGTTGTAAATGTGTATTGCAAGCCCTAAGGTAACCACTGAAATTTTTTTAAAGTGTATGTTAAAGTGGAGAGAAAATGAAAGTACATAAAACGCTCAGTTAAAAACAGAGAAGGCAAAAGAAACACAATAAAAAAAGAACAAGGGGAATGAATAGAAAATAGTCACAAATATGGTAGATATTAAACCAGCTATATCAATTATCACTTTCAATGGGAATGGTCTAAATGTACCTAATAAAAGACAGAGACTATTAGAGTGAATAAAATAATATGACCAACTACATGCTATCTACAAGAAACCCACTTTATAAATTAAATATAAAGACATAGCTAGATATAAAGGAATGGAGAAAGATAAAACCATGCAAATGTTAAACAAAATGAAGCTGAAACAACTATACTAATTTCAGACAACGTAGAATTTAACAAAGAAAATTATCAAGGTCACAAGCATAAGTAAGGGTCTATATTTAGAACATAACTGAATGTGTGCATCTAAACGAGTATCAAAATGAAGGCAAAAACTGAGTAGAACAAAGAGACAACAGAAGTCCACTATTACAGTTGGGAGACTCAACACCCATACATATTTTGACATTGATCGCTCGAATTGTATGTAAGTAATGTACTAAACTAACAGATCATCAAGTGGATTAACTGGATGTATTATAATACTTTATCCAACAACAGTAGTATTAAGCCTCAAGCTATGTAAACATCACCAAAGAGACCATTTCTGCGGCCAAATAAATCACCCTTACTATAATGTAAAAGCTGAAAATACACAATATGTCTCATGATCCAGTAAGATTTAAACTAATTAAATAACCGGAAATCCCAAAATATTTGGAGATTGAATACATATTCTAAATAACACATGAGCTATGAGAAAGTCTCAAGAGAAATTAAAATATTTTAAACTAAGATAAGATGATATACTACATAATCAACATTTGGGGCTGCACAAAGCCTGTTGTTGAAGCATTATAGATGTTCATTGTATTAGAAAAGGAGAAAGATCTAAAATCAATAAAGCTTCTTTAGGAATCTAGAAACAGAAGAAGAAATTCAATAGTAAAGATATAGAAAAGAAATAATAGAAATTGAAATTAAAAAATTGAAAACAAAAATCAACAGAATTAATAACAAAAGCTGTTTTTGAAAATATTATTAAGTTCAAACTGTATCCAGGATAAAAAAGAGACAACAAATACTAAATGAGAAATTAAAGAGGCTATCATACTTGATCCTAGAAATAAATAAAAGGATATATATTCTGTGCTCAGAAATTTGATAATTTAAAATGAAATGCAATTCTTGAAAGACACAATTTACCAAATTCCCAAGGAGAAATGGAAACCTGAATAACCTGTATCTATGAAGAAATGGAATCAATATAATAACGTTCCAAAACAGAAGTGCCAGGTCCAGATGGTTTCAAGGTAAGTTGTACCAAACATCTAAGGAAGAAATGACAATTAATTATATAGAACAGTAATCAAGACAATGGGTATTGACATAAGGACAGACATATAGATCAAAGGAATAGAGTTGAGCATCCAGAAGTAAAATCAAGTGCCTACGGTCAACTTATTTTCAACAAGGGTGGCAAGGCCTTGCAATAAAGAAATAAAAGTTTTTTTCAACAAGTGGTGCCAGGACAACTGGATAGCCACATGGAAAAGAGCAGAGTTGGATCCTTATAAACCATGTATAAAATTTAACTGAAAATGGACCAACCACCTAAATATAACCAAAACCATAAACTTTATTTTATTTTTTTGAGACAGAGTTTCACTTTGTTGCCCAGGTTAGAGCGAGTGCCGTGGCGTCAGCCTAGCTCACAGCAACCTCAAACTCCTGGGCCCACGCGATCCTACTGACTCAACCTCCTGAGTACCTGGGACTACAGGCATGCGCCACCATGCCCAGCTAATTTTTTCTATATATAAGTTGGCCAATTAATTTCTTTCTATTTATAGTTAGAGACTAGGTCTCGCTCTTGCTCAGGCTGGTTTCGAACTCCTGACCTGGAGCAATCTGCCTGCCTCAGCCTCCCATAGTGCTATGATTACAGGCGTTAGCCACCGCGCTTGGCTTCAAAACCATAAACTTTAAAAAGAAAACTTAGGGGCAAATCTTTATGACCTCGAATTTTGCAATGGATAATTTTTTTTTTTAAGAGACAGGGTTTCGCTTTGTTGCCTAACCTGGAGTGCAGTGTTGTGATCATAGCTCATTGCAGCCTCAAACTCCTGGGCTTCTCACCTCAGCCTCCCCATCAGCTAGGACTACAGGCACACACCACTATGCTCAGCTAATTTTTTTAAAAAATTTTTTTGTAAAGATAGGGTCTCTCTATGTTGCCCAGGCTGATTTCAAAAACTCCTGGCCTCAAGTGATCCTCCTACTTGAGCCTTCCAAAATGGTGGGATTATAGTCTTGAGCCACCGTGCTCAGCCTGCAATGGATTCTTAACTATGATAGTAAAAGCATGAGCAAATAAAGAAAAACTAGATAAACTGTACTTCATCAAAATTAGCCTTTTTGTGCTTCAAACAATACCAATCAAGAAAGTACCATCAAGGCCAGGCACAGCGGCTCATGCCTATAATCCTAGCACTCTGGGAGGCCGAGGTGGGTGGATTGTTTGAGCTCAGGAATTCAAGACCCTCCCCAGCAAGAGCCAGTGAGCCCAGGAGTTTGAGGTTGCTGTGAGGTAGGCTGATGCAATGGCACTCTAGCCTGGGCAACAGAGTGAGACTCTGTCTCAAAAAAAAATGGTACCGTCAAAAAGATAACCTACACAATGGGAGACAGTATTATCAGATATATGATCTGCTAATACTGTATCTGCTAATACTGCAGATCATATATCTGATAAGGGACTTATATCTAAAATATATAAAGGACTCAGTAATAAAAAGACAAACCCAATTTAAATATAGGCAAATGATCTAACCAGATCTTTCTCCAAAGAAAATATACGAATGGACAACATGCACAGGAAAAGATGCCCAACATCACTAGTCATCAGGGAAATGAAAATAAAACCCCAATTAGATACCATTAAGTCTCATAGTATGTGTTAACAAGGATGTGGAAAAATCAGAACCTTCATATGCTGCTTGTGGGAGTGTAAAATGCTACAACCACTTTGGAAAACAGTATGGCAGTTCTTCAAACTGTACACAACAGATCACCTACAAGTTTCACTGCTAGGTATATATCAAGGAGAAATGAATATATATATATGTCCATATAAAAACTTATACATGAATGTTTATAGCAGCACAGCATTATTCTAAGTAACCAAAAGGCAGAAACAACCCCTATGTCTAACATTAACAGCTGATGATGGATAAGTAATGTGGTATGCTCTTTTCTTTTTCTTTTTTTGTAGAGACAGGGTCTTACTCTGTCACCCAGGCTGCTGGAGTGCAGTGACCTGATCACAGCTCACTGTAACCTTGAATTCCTGGGCTCAGGCATTCTTCTGCCCCAGCCTCCCAAGTAGCTGGGACTACAGGTGCACACCACCACATTCAGCTAAACTTTTTCATTTTTTTGTAGAGATGCTGTCTCACTGTGTCGCCCACACTGGTCTCAAGAGATCTTCCCATCTCAGCCTCCCAAAAGTGGGTATATTCATACAATGGAATATTATTTGACTGTATAAAGAAATACTGATACATGCCATAACATGGGTGAACCTTGAAAACACTATCCTAAGTGGAAAAGCCAGTCACAAAAGACCACATATTATATGATTCCATTTATGTGAAATGTCCAGAATAGGTCAATCTACAGATGTAGAAATTAGCCTGGTGGTTGCTTGGGGCCAGAGGTGATGGTGGTATTAAGGTAAAAGGTAAGGGTGCAGGGTTTCTTTTGAGGTGATGAAAATATTTCAAAATTAACTGTGGTGATAACTGTATGTCTGTGAATGTACTAAAAATTATTGAACTGTACACTTTAAATGGGTAAATAGTATGGTATAGGAGTTATATCCTAATAGAGCTCTTAAAAAGAACATGTCTATATTCTCAGAGATGCAAACTGAAGTTACATAGTTTAGAATATGCTTTAAAATACTTAGTAGAGAGGTAAATAAAAGGGGGGGATGTGTTAGACAAAGCAAGTCTGGCAAATCTTGATAGTTTTTGAATCTTGGTAATGTGTACATGGAGGCTCGCTGTGGTTTTTCCCTCAGCCAATTGGATAGTTGTGGATAAGGGTGACTATTAAATATTTTGGAACTATACTATGTATTTGTTTGAAAATTTTTCTCTTAAAAAAACAAATAGGCAAGTACTTCCAAAACAAAATACAAAAATTCTTCTCCAAAGCATCATGTAATTATTTGGTAACTAGCTTTCTTGACTTGGGTATCTTTTAAGTAGAATAAATACTAACCAGAACTTTGAGCAATCTATCATTTTGCCTTCACTATAAAGTAGTTTTGCTTTAAACTGGTATTTACAAAGATGAAACCTGCAACTTTACATTTAATAAGATTTTAAATTACACCCATTTTACTATGTAGTTTTATTCTGGATCCAATTTTCCATTCTCCTATTTCACTAAGCACTAATATAGGCATGTGGTTCTATTTAATGTAATAATTACAGTTCAGATGTACAGTGAGGTGAATCACAGCAATATTTATCACTGAAGTTACCTGCTGATACAGCATCGATAATTGTCAAAATATATTCTTCCTCTCTCATAGGCTATAGGTGACTTGGAATGAGTTATCCAGACATTCTTAAATTTAGTACTTTCCTGAAAGACACAAGGAACTTTGGTTTAGGAATGAACCCATAAGCTTCTACTGTGTACCAATTTTAAGTTGGATAGTTAAATTTACAGTTTTCAAAGTAACTTCACGAACGTTATTTAAAAACATTATTTTGCATTCTTCCTCACTCTACTCTCACGTTTTAGTTTAATGGGATGACCGACTTTTAGAGTGACTGTTTGCAGGAAGGCATAAGAAGCTTAAAACTAAAAGCATTTGACAGCCCTTTAACACTTATTTACTAATCCCCCTTGTTCAGGGCTAGTATCATCCTCCCCATCACACATGACCCTTAAAAAATGGGGCCCTAGCGCGTACAAAAAAAAAACGGCATCCCAGCAGGAGGCTTGGCCACCAGGCGCCCCGCTGCCCTTTCTCCCGCCCCTGGCCGGCAGGCGGTCACCTGGCACACCAGCGCCCTCAGGATGCCTAGGTTCGTCCTCTGCACCACGCCTGCGTCGCGCGAGAAGCTGCCCAGCGCCCTCCGACTCAGCCGGTGGCACACATTGGGCTTCCGGGTCGGGCCCATGGAGGTGCAGGCCGGGCGCTGGGTTGGGGTGGGCCTAAGGGGCGCGCCCCACACTCCAGTGCTGGGCAGCAGCCGCTCCCTCCGAACCTCGAGGCCTCAACTTTACCGGTGGGCACCTTCCGGCAGAACGAGGGGAAGGAGAGCTGGCCCCCTGAGAACGCAGAGAACAGGGAAGGAAAAAACACCCACTTCCCAGCCTCCCTTTCAAACCCTCTCCTGCTGGTGACAGCGGACGCTCCAGTACCACGCGGCCTGCCAGAGCCGCTCCCTCACCGGGAAATGTAGTTCCCAGTCCCGCCTGAGGAAGAGGACCTTCTTCCCAGAACTACAATTCCCATCAGGCAGCGGGGGAGCGTGGCCTTGCCCCAGCCCCGCCTCAAACGCGCCGCGTCCCCGCCTCCAGCCCCGCCTCCTGTCTGGCCCCGCCTCGTGGCCCGGCCTCCTCGGGTCCAGCGGAGGCTGCGCCGTCCCGCTGGCGCGTTTTTCCGGGTCCGCTAGCTGCACGCGGAGGAGAGTCGTGGGGGCGCTGTGCTGCAGCCTCCTGGTCTCAGATCCTTGGCCGTGCTGTGCACTTAGGGATCTGTCTGTTTCTGCCCGGGTACCGCCACGCCTCTCAGACCCTGACTTTCGCTGTAGAAGGCTGTGGCCAGGCGCCGGGAGGGGCGCTCTGGTCGATTGCAAACCCGTCCCTCCCTCCCCCAAAGCAGCGTCCTGTGCTGAAGGTACGCTCCGCGGCTTTCCTTTCAGCCGCACGTTGGACTTTGTGGATGCGGATGAAGGTTAAACATTTGGGGTGTATAAACACTATGCTTTTATATTATGAGTTAGTGGTGGAAGATGCTGCCTTCCAATTCAATCCAAGTTTGGCCTACCAAACTAGGATTGAATTACCCTTTCCCACAGGCCCACCCTGTGTGGCCGGGGAAAGTAGCTGGTTTTGCTATAATTGCTGCCTTTTCCTTCCTCTCGCCTCCATTTTTTTTCGTTATAGGAAATAAAATACAAAATGCATACATTCTTGTTAGACTGCCTAAAATATCCCTCGTTGATTTCTCTAAGCAAAAGATATACTTTGTTAACTAGTTCTGCCTGTATGTTGAAAGTAACCAGCACACGAAATTTTCAATAATCAAGCACCAGATGTGTCTCGTTGCTTTGCAGTAAGTTCCTTGAGGGTGGTGTCTTTGCATCTCCCACGTGGACTTGATATGCTACCTCTTGTTCAGAGGTGCTCAAGGAAAATGAGCGATCGCATCTGACTGGCAGAGACTGGCAAAATGTACATTAAGACAGGTCCTCGAATAACGTTCTTTTGTTCAACATTTTGTTATTTGATGAAAAAAAAATTCGGTTGCAGATTGCGCTGCTGTTTGTGTGGCGTTTACACGTTCTCCCCACGTCTACGTGGGTTTTCTCTGGGTACTCCTACTAATACATTACAAAGATTTGCAAGTTAGGTTCAGTGGCTAGTGTAAGTCATCCCAGCCTGAGTGAGTGTGGGTGTGAGTGCGAGAGGGAATGGTGTCCTGTCTAGGGTTCGTGCCCTGAGCTGCAGGGATGGACTCAGGGCACCCTCAACCCTGAACTGGAGTAACTGAGTAAATAATTATCTTGTATGTTTTTATTAATCTTTTGCATGTTAAATGTATAGCTCACGTTTATTTCAGTGTTTAATATTACAAGTGTTTTGGTATTTGTTTAGAAGTTTGATGATGCTTTTGTGACCAGAAATATGCCATAGGAACTTCTATTTATATCAATTAGCCTATGGTAAAATCAGTTTTGTTATATGTCATTTTGCTTAAAGTTGCAGTTGCACCTATTGATGACAAATGAGGACTTACTGTACTGGGTAAGTTTGTTGGGTCACAATTTAAGTGCTTAGTAAAAATTTGCCATATCTCTTTTTAACCCTGCTGAATTTCCTTCAGGGCCTGAGCTTTTGCTGATTTTTCATGACTTATTTACAGCATACGGTAGAGTGCTTTGTATATTTTTAGAGAGCGCTACAATAGTTAATTTGGTAATTCAAGAATGCAGCTGTCACTGAGAAAACTGGAACCCAGAAAAGATAACTGGATTTTCTTTGGCTGAAATGAAATTCAAATCATTGCTGAATTGAATTCATCATCTCTCTCTTTTCTCCTTCCTCTTCAACTCCCACTTGTTTGTCTTCCTTCCTGTGTTCTTTATCTCACCACCAAATCACCCAAGGGAGACTCATCCTAGATGCCCCGCTTTCCCTCACCCACAATCAAGTCCTTTTGATTCTCTTATCCATCTCATCTTGATTTCATCTAAGTGACTTAGGGCCTCACCATTTTTATCACATTATTTAGTAGCCTCCTAACTACTCTTTCTGTCTTACTTGGGTACTTTAAATTCCAACTTTCCACAATGTTGCCAGAGTGATTTTTCTAAAGCATGAGCTGTCACTTACCTGTTTGAATCTTTCAGTGGCTCCCAGTCACCCATAGCAGAATTTCTCAAACCTGAGTAGATACCCAGAATCCTCCATCATTAACTTAAAATATTTTTAGTGTGTCACATATATGCAAATATAAAACTACATATAAATTTCTTATGTTGTATCTTTCATACAACTGTAACACCCAAACATTTATAAACTAAATGAAGCCAAATTATAAAACCAAGAAATTCAAATGAATACTTACTCATTGTGACCATGGGATTGTTTTGCTGGACATAAAGAGCTCGAAGAGTGATGTGTATCTTCTTCTCTGTGGTGTACATTCCTTACAGAAATGCCTGTCCATATTGCCCTTGTGTTGAGAGATTACTTGATGCCCTCACCTCTTTTGTTTAAATCTCTGCTGAACTTTCCTTTGTTCTATGTGTCATGGCTTCATTTGACCTTCACTTAACAGACATTATTTACAAATATTAGTAGTAGTCCCCATTTATTTATTTTTCCCCCCACCTGTCCCTACTCAATCTTCATTTGTTTCTTATTTACTTGCACCAGTGACAAATGGTACCACTTGTTTAGCAGTGCACTCCTAAACATAAATGTGTGAACGGAAATCTTGTGACAGGACTCATTTAAAAGGTGGTTAGTCACATGATCCAGTGCCCTTTTGTTAAATTTTTTTTAAGTTTTTTGATCAAATTGAAAATAAAGGTTTCTCCTAGAAAAATCTCATAGCCATAATGCCACATGTACAAATCCCTAGGGGCCCATGAGTTATCTTATAGAACAAAATCTGAATCTCTGGGGGTAAAAGGTACTCCATTATCTTCATCTTGCCCATGTTTTCAGCCTCATCTCTTTGGGCATCTTTCATCTTTACTATTCTGACATGTTTACCCAGTTTCTCAAGCCATTGTGCCTTTACACTTGAGATTTTTTTTATCTAGAGCTCCATTCCTTTCCTTTTATCTATTTGTCTCAAGACTTATTCTAGGTATCACAAGTTGGAGTCTTTTCTTGACTGCTCCAGCTTAGTTAGTAGCCTTGTGTGTACTTCGATGTTACTTTGCATACAGTTGTGGCACTATATTAGAATTGTCATTTGTCTGTCTTTCCAACTAGCCTGGGCAGAAACTGAGCAGTAATATCTTTCTGTGTCCTTAGTACACTGCCCCAAAATGTGGTTAATGCATATGTATGTTGAATGAATGAATGGACTATAAAAACTAACATATTTGTATGGAACCTATTAGCAGAAGCTAAGTACTTTTAGCATAGATGAAAATTTAGTCTTCCTTTATTTTTTTAAATCAGTAGGAAATCACAATATTAATAAAAACAAAAAACTTTCAAAAAACTTAAATCCCCTGGCTCAAAACTAGCATGAGTTAAATACAACTCACATGTCAGTTAACGTGTTTTTTTGTGACAATGTGGTAATCATGAATGGATGTTGAATTTTATCACAATGCTTTTTCTTTATCTGCTGAGATGATTATATGATTTTTCCTTTAATCTGATAATGCAATGAATTATATGTAAATTCACTAAGCTAAACTTGAATTTATTTAGATAAATTTTTGTAATATGCTTTGTTTTTTATAAACTTTATACATTATACATTTTATACATTTATACATTGTAGGCTCTGGGCAGCTGCTGACTTCAGTGCTCATTTAGCTCTGGACATTTTGCTAGCTTTCAGTCTCTGAGAACTTCACTTGCTTGCTGGCTGATATATATATATATATATATACACACATATATATATATACACATATATATATATACACACACATACACACATATATGTGTATATATATATATTTTTTTTTGAGATAGGTTTCACTCTGTCACCTGTGCTACAGTGCAATGGCATCATTATAGCTCACTGCAACTTCAACTCCTAGGCTCAAGTTATCCTCTTGCCTTAGCTTCCCTAGTCATGCCACCACGCCCAGCTAGTTTTAACCCTTTTTTTTTTTTTTTGGAGTAAAAGACTTTCACTTTTGCTCAGGGTGCTGGTCTTTGAACTATTGGCCTCAAGCAATCCTCCTGCCTCAGCTTCCCAAAGTGCTAGGATTACAGGGGTGAGCCACTGCACCTAGCCTAAGATTTTTTTAAAAATGTATTCATCCAGTTATTTGGGGGTGTTATATTACAGAAAGGTTTTGGGAGTGTCAAGTTCACCCAGTTTTTAGAACTAAAATTCTACTTTTTCATATTTTTAGTGTGAAAGCTTCTGTTAATGTAAGATATGGTTTGAATGATCGCTAACCACCACTCCTTCCTCTTCTGCTTCTTCTTGTGTCTCTGCACAACCATGCTCCTCCTCGCTGAAAAGAAGGAAGAATTATGTAGTGGAAAGAGCATCATACCAGGAATTAAAAGACACAAGTTCTAGGGTCAGCACCTCCACTTACTAAGATCTTGACCAAGCCACTTACTCTCTCTTAGATTCATTCAATCATCTGCTAAGTGGAAACAGGATTAAAGTGAGTTCACATGTGTTTATAAATGTGAACGTGGTAAGGGGAACAGATGAGAAGCAATGATATGGAGTACATTCTCTGTTAGGAAAATGTAATAGAAACAGGAACTCTGGGGGAGGCAGTGGGTTGATTAGGTCACAAAGGGATTTTTTTGTTTTTAGGGTGGTGAAACTATTTTGTATGATACAGTAACGGTGGGTATATGACACTATGCATTTGTTAAATCCATAGAGCTTTACGGTACAAAGTATGAATCTTAATGTATGCAAAATTTTAAAAATAATTTAGGAGGAGTAGAAATTCAGGATGGGATGCAGACTGTGACAAAAGAATCTAACTG